TTCGTGTATTGTTAATTTGTGAAAGGACAGACTACATTTCAATTTCCTGTATCTATTTATGATATCATTATTGTATTACAGGGTGATGAAACTCGTAAGAGAGCTCCTACACTGGGAGAGCAGTTCAAGAGATCTTTAGACATGTTAATGAAGACTCTTTCGGCTTGTCATCCGTTCTTTGTTCGGTGTATCAAACCGAATGACTACAAGAAACCAATGGTAATCATAATTCTTTAAATGCAATACCGTTAGCTTTTAGCCGAACGCTATAGTACTATAACGGTTTTGAGTGCACTTGATTTTGCAAGAACTATTTAATGACCAGTTGGTACATAACGATAAATTTAGTAGGTTTTACAGCTTTGAGAACTTGATATATGATTCATTCTTTCTCCCCTTGAACATCTCCCCATATTCAGACTTGGTTCCAGATTGCGACTGTGATCAACCAACACCACTGTTCTTTTTGTTCTTTAAAGACAGCCTTCTTGTAATGCTTGTATGTATTGAAATGTGTTCATTCTTAGATGTTTGATCGAGTCTTGTGTTGCCGACAACTTCGTTACTCTGGTATGATGGAAACAATAAGGTATGATATTTTCTGTTTATCCTTTGAATTTTTTTCACCATTATTTGTTCTGTTTCATGCATTGTTTCCGGCATATTGTTTTGTTTTCTTTTGCGGCTCATAAGTTCATTTTCGTACTCCGACACATTCTTCTCAGCTTCACAACGGAAAATCGAAGGCTCTGGCTGGAGACGATACCGAAAGACCCAAAATTTTGATCGTATGTTGGGAAACTGTGAAGGATCTGGTGTGAGAATAGGATAGAATCTCTACTCCAATGTAACATTTATTTTAAATAATCTTAGAATTCGTAAAGCTGGCTATCCCATCCGCCATACATTCAAGGAATTCATGAACAGATATTACATGCTTGGTAAAGGCAGTCCACCAAGCTCAATTGATTTCGAAGGGTTGAAGAGAGCCACAGACGAAATWGCAAGGGCGTTGCTTGGCAAAAGCGACTGGCAGATCGGCAAAAACAAAATCTTCCTCAAGGTAGGCAGTATCGCCAGGAACCTAGGTTAATCTTCTTCTCTCACTTGTTCCTTACGACGGACAGAACATAATCCCTGGGTTTCTTAGGATGGGTAAGCAAGTCCTCTCTCATAAGACAACAGAATCGCTGTCTGGGGTGGCTAGCGATGTCTTTTGAAAGCTTTATCAACTCAAGAGATTGTCATGCGCATATAAGCTAAAAATTGTAGTTTCTCCATTACCCATGATGATTTTACGTGCTTTAGGACGCCCAAGATCATGAACTAGAAGACCAACGAGACAGACTTCTTACTCAGCGAGCAGTGCTTATCCAGAGAGTCGTGCGTGGATTCTTGACAAAGAAGCGTTTCGTTAAGCAGAAACAAGGAGCCTTATTAATACAGCGAGTATGGCGYGGGCATCATGCAAGGGCCAAGTACCTGAAGGTACTAAGATAATTAATTTATTCSGATATTCCCTTGTCCAGTTCATGCCATTTTTTCATTAATTAATCAACCAACCAATATTCGTCCATTGATTTAATAATTCGCTCTCTCCTACTTGAACTTACCAGTACTAATACACTACTAGCACAACTCACTGCGTGAGCTATGAATACAGGTTAGTATAATATATAATAATTGCTCGTTTCAGATTAGAAATGGCTACGCTCGTCTACAGGCTGTCTACCGCGCCAAAGTTACTTCTGCCAAGTACCGTGCTCTTCGTGATCGTGTGCGTGTCTTCCAAGCCTACTGTCGTGGCTTCCTAGCTCGGAAAGACTTCAACGAACGCATGCGCAGTATCGTCAAGATTCAATCAGGCATGCGCAAAGTTTTGGCTAAAAAGACCGTTGATCGTCTGAGAGTTGAAGTATGAAACAAATCGTTTCCACTAATTTTTGTCTGTAGTGTGTTTCATGGAGAGGAATTGTATTTCTTTTTTATAATTCACAGAAAGCTAAACGAGAAGAAGCAGAAAGACTACACAAATTAGAAGAAAAGAGATTGAGCAAAGCCCAGGCAGAGAGGTTGCATAAGGTAAAAAAGAAGGATGTTCCTGCGACATTCTCAATGCTGCCAAGAAAATGCTCTTAGTAACTTGAAGATCTTGCAATATTTTGATTTGGTCAGACCTCGATTGGTAGCCATATTTATTAGATGTTTATATCCTGGGTCTGTTTGCACTTACTGCCTCTTGTTTCCTTTTTTGTTGATTTGTTTGTTGTTGTTGTTTTTATTTATTTTTTTTTTTTGTGTGTGTCTGTTTAATTATTTGTTTTCAGCATAATCAAATGGGTTGGTTCTTTATTGTTCTTACAGGAAAGATTGGCTAAAATTGAGCAAGAAGAAAGAGAAGAAATCGAGAAACATAAGATAGAGGCTGAGAAAAAGAAACATGAAATTGAACTTGCTGAGAAAAAAGCAAGAGAAAGGAGAGAAGAAGACGTCGATGACGAAAGAATGGTAACTTAATTTTTATATTTCTCAAAAAGGAAACCCTTGCATCGCGAGCCTTGGATTAATTTCTTTGCGTCAAACATGAAAGCATCCAGTCGTTTGACGTGKTATTCAAAATCCCAATGGGAATTCATGCTTGAACTTTATGACCATCGTTTTAGTTAATATGAGGATTTKGGCTGYAATTTGATAGCAGTAAAATAGATACAAGCACTTGCAGATTTACACGTTTTTTTTCCTTGACACAATATCGTCAAAAAAGAACTTTTTCACCTTGCCAGAGATTTACGAGTGTTACGGTACCGGAAATAGGGAAACCAAAGCCAACGCTGATAAGCAAATAAATAMAAGGATAATCACCACAATTTCTATTGTCTAGCATTACAGAAATTCAATATTATAAAGGAGTAAGGGTCAAAGGTAAACTACGATATAATGTTTTCGCGTGACTACATTTTGCATGGAACCTCACCATGATTTCTGAGTTTAATGTAAACACGAGTTCACGATGAAATCAGCCAAACGAGCCGTGTATCGTAAAAGGAATAAGTCCAGACCCGAGGCGTTATCTTATCCTTGGGAAACTCAAAGTACGAATCAGTTTGATCATAGACTTMTCGTTCAAACAAGAGAATCAAACCTTTCCGGGAACAATCCGAGTAAAGAGGCTTACATCGACGAACGTAGAGTCATTGAAGAGCATGTCGGTGTGCTTCAGGAAAAAACGGTTTTTCGGGAAAATCCATGTTATGTGGTGGCAATGGTAAGAGAAAGTTACCGTTTTTGTCAGACTGATCTTACAGTTCTTTGAAGATCTGAATGTTTATCGACGACATAACAATACAATGGAATTTTATATTTTAACTGTCTGCTATTCGACTCTATTCTTCATTCATCTCACTGTATACACTATATACAATGATATCTGCCATATCATGATGAATTATTTGACTAAAGCAATGCATATGGTTGGTATGGTAACARCGACAATAACAAATGAGCTTCAATCGAATTGCCATTATCGAAAATAGGGCTTGCAAACTCCTAGAAGCCAGACAGTTACGTTGAMATTAAATTCGGTCTGTAGCCAAATGTATTTTTAAGGTGAAGCGTTAACTAATGGGGTGGGTCACCGCGGCTGCGCCAATCAGAACGAAGAATGATTTTGTCGCAATTGGCGTGCACAAACGAACCTGTCAAAGCCCTGAAGTCTCTAGTCTGATTGTTTGCTGTAACTGTGATATAAATGCAACTGTAACTGTAATTGCGTCTGTTGGTAGTGGTAATCTTGATAATTGATAAAGGTTGAATAAATAATTAATATTCTACGTGTATGTGCTAATCAATATCTCTGTAAATTATCCTAACGCTTGCTGCTTTCAATCATATATAATCGCAATCGTATCATAATTCAATGTAATGTAATTATAATAAGTGTAATGACAGATAAATGATAACGATGGCTAACTGATTAATACTATTCTCTAATTTTTGCTGCTTTAACGCCATTAATCTTTTCTGCTATTTTGAAATCTCAATCAGCATCTAGTATATCACAGAACATGGGGCATACTTGCTAATGCTGTCGGTGAGGACCCCCMTACTCCCATTGATCAGATCTGAGGGATGCTCCTACTTCTTTTGAAGAGGGGCATTACAGTGCAGTACATTACAGTACCTTGAATTAGCGTTACTACTGTGCATTCATGTGAAAAATGGGAATTTGTCGTGTACAATTAACTCTATGTACAGTCTATTAGTATTGTAATAGAAGCACGTTTGATGATGTTTCAGGTTGATGAAATGTTTGGCTTTCTTCCTGAGGACAAACCGACTACACCTGAATCTTCGATGACTCCAAGTGCATTCAAAGTAAATAATTATAGCATTTGAAATGCAAAATTAATATTATCTAAAGCCTAAAATCATTGATTCATTAAACATGTTGTTTGATTTGTTGATTGGTTTGTTTTTTGACTGGTGAATTTTTTGTTGGTCAGATATAGTAGATGGCTTGTTGGTTGGTGAGTTTAAATGGTTGATAGGTAGTTTGGTGAGTTGATGAGTTCGTTGGATGGTGGATTGGTTGGTGAGTTGGTTAGTGGATGGGTGGGTCGGTGAATCGGTTGATGAGTGCGTGGGTGGTTTGCATGATTGGTTGGTTGGCTGATTGGTAGGTGGTTGTTTTGTTGGTCAGATATAGTAGATGTCTTGTTGATTGGTGAGTTTAAATGGTTGATAGGTAGTTTGGTGAGTTGATGAGTTCGTTGGATGGTGGATTGGTTGGTGAGTTGGTTAGTGGATGGGTGGGTTGGTGAATCGGTTGATGAGTGGGTGGGTGGTTTGCATGATTGGTTGGTTGCTTTGTTGGTCAGATAGTGGTCGGTTGGTTGGTCGGTCTCATAGTGGTGGGTCGTTTGCCCATTGGTTGGTTGGTGGTTTCTTAAATGTGCTGTCATTTCTTTATCCCGAAATTGTGAAATTTGTATAAATTTAATAATTTATCGTGCTTCTCAAAAAAACGGTAGCTAATGTATAAATTTTGGAACCACATGGAAATGTATTTAACATTGTTTATTTAGCAAGCGAACAGGAATAATAGGTTCGCGTTGGATACGGATCGTTGGGTAGGACGCGACTATAAAACGGTAGATTTATGCAAAAGTTACCATTCGCGTCCAACGACGTAACGCGTCGTGTTTTCAAAAAAAAAAAAAAAAGGGATAGTATGAATCATCGTCATATTTCTTTTAGCACTTTCTTTACATTCCACATTGTTGTATCAAGAAGTTATCTCCAGTGCGAACGGGGTCAGTAAAATGGCAGGCTTACTTTAGTTGATAGCTTATTATCTCTGTATTAGCAATGATTAGTTCGAATAAAACACGCGCACACGCTGTCGTGTGGACATCCTCCTGAAGTCTGTGTGATATTAAATGGTAAATGATTTATATTCGGTTGAGCGGGGGAGCGAATTAGAATATAAATAATGTTTCAAATAACAATACAATACCTATTTAGCATAAATTAAGTCAKCTTTAGTTTAGTAGCCATTGTGTCGGTTCCTTTTTCAATCCGYAGGACTTGGGTGAACAGCAACAGCCAATGATCTCAACAGAAGACCAAAGTGTCTCCAGAGCGAGAAGAGAGGTGAAATATAACGGTGTATTATTGTTATTAATAATTATCAAAGTTTTTCAGATGCTTCTAACGATCATAATTACATGTACTATCACGTGATACCTAACGCACATGGTACAATTGTACTTTTTTCACGATTTGTTTGAACTTTCAGCCCGAGGAAGACGTCTCCGAATACAAGTTCTCAAAATTTGCAGCAACTTACTTTCAAGGCGGGTCTAACCATTCTTACATCAGGAAACCGCTGAAGCAGTCTTTGCTTTCACTGAACTCTGARGCCGACAGTATGGTAAGAATTGAAACCAGAGTATACAGAGATATTGATAAGGAAAAAGTCACAATAGCCAAGTTTGCGTTCTTTCAATATCATTGTTTCATGAATTCGTTTTCTCTCTCCACCAGGCCTCCCTAGCTGTGTGGATTACGATTCTTCGTTTCATGGGCGATTTACCAGAACCTAAGTATATTACGTCACACGTTGACTCAAAGGTTGGTAGATCAACGGCGTTTTCCTGAGTGGAACGTTATTAACTAGATTTTTTCAGTAACTTACCTTAAGCATCTTCAAAATCAACTTTTGTCAACTTTTARATAGATATTTACATGGTAAATATTTTGTTTTGTATTAATGTTATACTCTTTGGTATTTAAACAGGATAATGCATCAGTCATGAGCAGACTCTATGACACACTGGGAAAGAAGTTTGTCAGCAAGAAAGGTGTTGAGGGAGTAGACGATTTCCAGGTTCGAATTTATAGCTTTTCTTTCCGGTGCGGGCCATGCTCTTGTTTCTAACCTTCCGCCTTGTTTATTTTATACATTTCTCTCAAAGGTCACATTTATACCATTCGCATTCATTGCCATATTATATGTTTTCATTCAAGGCACAAAATGCTTCTACCATATCCCGTGAACGTGATACTATAAGAAAAAGGATTGTCTCTTTAACATTAAAAAGGAAATCAAAAATTACTAAAGTAAGCTATATTTCTGTATTTATTTGTCTATTCRATGTTTTTGTTTCTAGATGTATTGTTGTACCCGTTGTTGTCATTTAGGATTTACAATTTAATAAAGACCCTTCATGAATTAGTTTAGTTAATTGTGTTGTCTAATACCATTGCTGTGTCCATACCACACCAATACAGTCACTTCTTCCATCTATCAAATAGGACGTAGCTGCTAAACTGCGAGAGGCTGAAGAAAGTGGTACCATCACGAGTGGTTATGGACCATTGTCTGCTCAAGACCGTCCCACCACTAACCTAGAGAAACTCCATTTCATTATTGGTCACGGTATCCTCCGGCCAGGATTGCGTGACGAGATATATTGCCAAATTTGTAAGCAGCTGAATCAGAACCCRTCTAAGACAAGTTATGCTCGAGGATGGATATTGCTGTCTCTGTGCTTGGGTTGTTTTGCACCGTCTGACAGGGTGAGTTCTGTGGTTAATACGCAGAATTGGTGAAAGACATTCACTCGACGGTATATACAAAAGGATATATTGTCATTATTATTTCTGTACGGAAACGATCCYCTTTTTCTCTTTTACAACAGACAAATATTCAATATTATGTTTTGTTTAATTGCAGTTTGAGAAGTACCTGAAATGCTTTATTAGCGAAGGACCCCCAGGCTACGCTCCGTACTGTGAGGAACGCCTTAGAAGAACACAGCAAAATGGATGCAGACATCAACCTCCCAGTTGGCTTGAGTTACAGGTTTGTCAGTGTTAAAATCGTAGAAATACTGAAATTTATGCAAAAAATCATTTTTTTGTTTCTTTCTTCTTTTTTCTGTTAGGCAACAAAGTCAAAGAAACCTTTAATGTTACCTATAACGTTCATGGATGGTAGGACCAAGACTCTTCTTGCTGACTCAGCCACCACGGCCAGAGAACTTTGCACACAGTTAGCAGATAAAATATCACTCATGGATAACTTTGGTTTCTCGCTCTACATTGCCCTTTTTGACAAGGTACTTTAAACGCTTTAAACCACCTTTTAGGAGGGTCAACCTACCACAAGAGTCGAAACACAGGCCTTCTTGATTGACATGCAAATTTGACAAGCAGGTCTCACCTTAGAGTACGGCCCCTACTCTAGCAACGAWATGCTCGCTTTTTCAGTGGTTCGCCCTATGTTTGGCAACAACACCGCAGAGACTGTTAATTTAGCCCTACCTGACCTATAAACACAGCGATGATTTTTTTTTTTTTTTTTGATCAGGTATCGAGTCTTGGGAGTGGCAGTGATCACGTGATGGATGCGATTTCTCAATGTGAACAGTACGCGAAAGAACAGGGAGCYCAAGAACGGAATGCTCCATGGAGATTGTTCTTTCGCAAAGAGATATTCTCTCCTTGGCATGATCCATCTTTGGATAAGAGCGGTACAGACCTTATCTACCAACAAGTCATCAGAGGAATAAAGTTTGGAGAGTACCGATGCGATAGGGTAAGGTTATTGAAAAATAAGAATAAACACGATCGAATATAGCATTTCTCTASGTGCAAATCTTTTGTTGAAATAAAATGCGAATAGTGGATTTTCCTTTTCCCGCTGTCTGTGGCTGAGAGTATTTGAACCTGAAGCTACAATATTACTAGMGCTATACAAGTATGAGTGACTGCGTTGACGATTTAATGCAAAAATATGTTGAATTACAAACCGTTAAAAAAAGACTTTTGGTCCTGTTCACCGATATACAGTTAAGTCGATGAAATAATCACACTGACATAATAAGCTATTTTTGAATTAAAGGGTYGATATTTATCTTGTTTTGACAGGACGAAGACCTTGCTGACATAGCAGCCAAGCAGTATTATGTAGAATATGGACGGGAGATGATCACGGATCGGTTATTAGACCTTCTGCCAACTTACTTACCCGAGCCTTTACTGCAAACTGGCCGTGGAGCACTGGAACACTGGCAAACTCTAATAACGAGCGCACATCGCAAGGTATGAAGGGCAGAGCAAATGCGAGATTACCTCAGATTTTCTATGCATCAAAACCTTTAACATACGTTTTTGTATACGTTTCGGTAGGGATATTACAATCTTCAAAGAACCGATCCACAAGTCGTCAAACAAGATGTGGTAAACTACGCGAGGTTCAAATGGCCATTACTATTCTCTAGATTTTATGAAGCATATCAGTTCTCAGGCCCTAGTCTACCTAAAAATGATGTCATCATTGCAGTCAATTGGACGGGTGTCTACGTTGTTGACGATCAAGAACACGTGTTACTGGACTTGCAGTTTCCGGATATTGCTGGACTCAGCCACAATCAGTAAGTCTAGGGTCAATGCATAACTATTTATGTTAAGTGTTCAAAAAAGGTCCTGTACGAAATGACCTATGGCTTGTAAACCTTAGTTTCACCACCAAAAATATCTAATGAATGTGAGTTACCGGTGTTTTGTGTTTATCCTGCTCAATAAATCTCTTGGCCTCTACTGAGTTGTGCATGTCGCCACATCACAAATTTCACCATTGCAGTAGTTTAACTAATTTCTTCATCTTCAGCGGAACAACTCGGCTTGAAGGCTCAAGCTTTACAGTTTCGACCATCAAAGGAGACGAGTACACTTTTACCTCTGCTAGCGCTGAAGACATCTGCGAACTTGTCCAGTTTTTCTGGGATGGTTTACGTAAGAGGTCTAAGTTTGTCATTGCTATAATAGACTATCAAAGTCCAGGCAAGTACAAAGAATATAATCTTCTTTTATAGCAATACTTCCATTAAAAGAATACGCTTTGGCTAATTAACCTTTTTACCATATAACTTTCTTACTTCTCGGTGCCACAATACCAATCATTGTCTTTTGGTTGAGTGCAACGTTGCCTTTGCAAAATTGCAGAATGYATTACTTTTCAAGCAAATGTGCTGTGTGGTAAAGTTTCTTCCGAAATCATCTTTTTGACCTCAGAAATTAACCATTGATTTGGTTATTTTAGGTGAAGGCTCATCGTTTTTAAGCTTTAAGAAAGGCGATCTTATTATTCTGGAGAACGACACAGGAGAAACAGTTCTCAATTCAGGATGGTGTACTGGTATTTGCGAACGAACTGGTCTAATGGGAGACTTTCCTGCTGAATGTGTTCATGTACTGCCAGCCACCGTTAAACCTGGACACGAAACATTGGTGAGTGAAAAATAAGGAATTTGAGAGGCACCWGCGAAATGAATAGGGTTGTTTTTGAACGGAAAATTCCTTTGAACTAACCATRRTAAGYKTTGGTTAATATTTCTATTGTTTCACAGTTGACATTCAGTGATCAAAGTCTCGAAAGCTCAGAGAAAATCATTGCGACAACGAAAACAGCCATTCATGAAGAGCAGGAGGTCTTTGATAAACCGTACACCTTGGAGACATTTTCCATCGACCACTTCATGCCTCCCGCAAAGAGAACACTGAGCAAAACGCTACAGTCGCAATCCAAGAGAAAAGATAAATACATCTCCTGGTCTTTCGCAAAGGTAATGCTTAGTTATGTTGTTGTTTATTCGATTAATGGCTGCTCACAGTTACMGTACAATCTGTTAATTCTTCATTCATTAATTCAGGATCCAATAAAGCAACCATTGCTCAAGAGATTGGCTGGTCAAGAAGAACTTTCCCAGAAGGCAACGCAAATCTTCTTGGATATCCTTTTTTTAAGATWACGTTGCATGTTTTAYATGTTACATGCTTATTTTTCCCATTATGGCAGCTATCTTGAATTCTGTGTTCTTCAAAACATAATTACAGTCGATTCCCTGAGAAATACCATGTTGTATTTGAAGCAATAGAATCCAAATATGTGGCTTCAACACATTGTAAATCTCTTTGYAATCAAGTAGTATTATACTGATAAATACAGGAGCGTGCGCAGGGGTTCCTGGGTTCTGGAAACCCTCTTCCTTAGCAAACAAATTCTTTGAAATGAGACTTTCTTTGCCAGATAATTAGGCTAGCACACTTTCGGTAGACCAACAGTTTGGAAGTCCTTACTACCCTCATGAAACACATTGTCGTTAGTGTTCTTTCAAGTTCGTTTCTTTAAGTGTTTCCTTGACTTTACCTACCTATTATGAAGTACATGGGTGACTATCCATCAAAACGAACMAGACAAGCTACCGAACTCACAGACGCCATACTTGAGCCAGCTCTGCAGCACGTATGTGTGGTCCTACTTGTCGAATTTATCATGCATTTTCTARTACAACTGTGTTTCCAAGCTTCTCTTCACAAGCTTGGAAAGCAGCTTTAACATCGATTCGAATTGTAACTTGTTAACAGAACATTTTTATTCCCAAACAATAAAGCGTCTTTGTAATAGTGTGTTTATCTTGATAGGCTTATCAAAACTCATTTATTTAATTCCATGAATTTGACTCTCACTACGTTTATTTTGCGTTTGTATTACAGGAGCCTCTTCGTGATGAAGTATACTGCCAGTTAATTAAGCAGATAACGGACAACCGATTACCGTGAGTTTCCTTGCTTTGAATCTAATCTTTTRAATTAAATATGGGGTTGTTGTATAGAGGTTTCTTGAAATATTATAAGGCTCGTTGGCAGCTTTCTCCCCCTGGGTCGAACGAGACTCGCAACGGCTGTAAGAAAAGACAATTATTAATGAAGTGTCTGTTTAAATTGAGCACTTGTGGAAGATGTTRGATTTTCCTGGACTTAAAATCACAATTGGGTACCTGGAATATAGTCCAGGCAGAAGATGATATAGTTTTCTCATAGAAAAGTGGTCTTTAACGTTAACGTTGTTACCTGCCTATAACGAAAGAGTAGTATACTCTGTAAAATATACAAGTGAAAAAAAAACACAGTACTTATTATAGTCTGAATGCACAGGTCAAGCTCCGAAAAAGGCTGGGAGCTGCTTTGGCTTTGCACCGGAGTCTTTGCTTGCAGGTAAGCTCACATCATACACTAATCTTTTATCACATGCTTATATATATTAACTCATACATTGTTCCTTAATACAGCCTTTTGCACAAATTATGAGACATTTATATATATATAAATATACCTAACCAAATATCAAAAACACCCAAGAAATTATGGGATACCGTCGCTGATATTTTGTCATGATTGCCTAGCATCAGGTTGTTACAGACAAAATATCAGCGACGGTATCCCATAATTTCTTGGGTGTTTTTGATAGTTGGTTAGGTATATTTATATATATAAAAATGTCTCATAATTTGTGCAAAAGGCTGTATTTAATTATATATTGCTCCATGTTTATATCTATTAACTCATACATCGCTCCTTATTTAATTATATATTGCTCCTTACTATTTGATTGGTCTATTTATTTGGTCAATGTGTCTCTCCAGTGCTCTTCTTCTTCGTGACGTCAATCAAGTATTCAAGTCGTGGAGAATACGACAGCCACTGGCTCAAGATTGTCTAATGCGCCTCCAAAAGACAATTAGAGTTGGTCAGCGGAAATATCCTCCTCATCTTGTCGAAGTTGAGGCCATACAGGTTTGTATAYACTTATTTATATTTTAGTCTTTGACCGTTAAAGCCTGGTACACACTTTTCATAAGAATCCTTGAAATCGAGGATTGTTGTTATGTCGGGGATATTGACGATCTCTTTACTCTCAAACATAGTCTGTTCAATGTGCACATTTTCTATAATATCGCCGATCAACTATTGATAGTGGAGAATGAACCCTAGGACKTGAAACTAAATATTATGTCGTCGAATGTTGTAACTTTTCCCCGACATCCATTTTGATTTAATGATTGTACGTCTGTTTGCTTTTYATCTCAGCACAAGACAACTCAAATCTTTCATAAAGTATACTTCCCTGATGACAGTGATCAGGTAACTTAAAACACTCAATGACCTCAATAGTTATCACACTGATGTAGAATTAAATCCACATGGAGCAGGTATTCCGCTACGTTTGATAACCCATATATGGGATTGACAATAGCTGGCTGAATTGCACAAGACCTTGTAATGTTTTCATGAAATATGTCACCTGAAATTGTTAAATGTATAATAACTAATAAAGTGATTTGCAGCATATCATAGATTTTAGATATTGCAAGTTATAYTTTGCATATCAATAGTATATTGTGTAATTGGAATTGGAATTTCMAATTTTGAATTGGAGCTGCAATGTAAGGCGTCTAGTGCATATGAAGTTCCTGTTGACCGACTCTAGGCTACCATTTAAAAACGCGTGTATCTCTAACTAGTTAAGATAGTTAGTTAACTTTTCCTGTCTCTATCAAATCTTCAGGCGTTTGAAGTTGATTCAAGTACGAAAGCAAGAGAATTTTGTTCAATAGTTGCTCAGCGTCTAGGACTGAAGGTTTCTGAAGGTTTTAGTTTGTTCGTGAAAATCACTGATAAAGGTAATAATCATAATCTCACAATATATCCTGAACTCAATCTTTATTGATTATTTTAATATCGTTAATTTCGCCACGTTKTCATCATTAAGGGAGCTGTGAACGAGTATAAAAATTGTTCACTTATCGAAAACTTAACCTTACCACGTAAAAGACTATACTATAATTAATATAGTGCAATTAACATTTTCATCATCATCATCCCTTTGATTTCTTATAAGCCATAACCGTCGATCACAAGAAGGATCACCATGCGTCACTAATACAATCATGATGTTCATCGTTATGATCATGATTAGCACATTTTATCAATATTCAGCCCAGTTCTTTCTTTTCTCCAGTCATAAGCGTTCCTGAGGGAGATTTCTTTTTCGATTTTGTGAGACAYCTAACGGAATGGTTGAAGAAAGCAAAGCCAACCAGAGAAGGTAGGAAGGGCATGATCATTTGAATTTTTTGATTGGCTAGAGACGCAACAAAAGTTTGAAATCACTGTATCTTTTTTATACGCAGTTTGTTTAATCAACCATGAATAATTTTAAACTTCTTTCCAAGCTTTCGACCTAAGCGGTCATCGTCTTTGTGTTCCCTGAAGATGACCGCTTAGGTCGAAAGCTTGGAAAGAAGTTTAAAATTATTCATGGTTGATTAAACAAACTGCGTATAAATATGAAAAATACAACCAACAAAGATCTTTTAAGACTGTATCTTTGTATCTTAAGGACAAATGCCAAACCTGACTTATCAAGTGTTCTTTATGAAGAAGCTTTGGATAAACACAGTGGTAGGCAAAGATCATGTAGCAGATTGCATCTTCCATTATCATCAGGTAAGTATTGTTTGTTCGTTTTGTGTGTAAATAGGTAGTTAAGGCAGTACATGTGACCCAAGTGGCATGTAGTCATTGGTCAATTGCAGTTAAAAACAGGGTTACATTCTCAAGTGTTTCATTTTCTCCAATCTATCACAAATATAAGTTCGGTTTTCACGTTAAATCAATAACATTTTACCCTATATCAGGAGCTTCCGAAGTACTTGCGAGGCTACCACAAATGTACAAAAGATGAAGCAGCACAGCTTGCTGGACTCGTTTACAGAGTTAAACATGGCGAAGATAAACGCGAATTTCAAAATATCCCGTAAGCTCATTCAGAATTTATTCATTTTGCATTCATTCATTAAATTGTTAATTTATCATTGATTTATTGAAATAGGAAAAGGCTGAATGAGCTTGTCAGTCATGATCTGATCAAAGAGCAGTCTCCCGATGACTGGAAGAGGGTAAGAACTTTTAACTAAATAGATTTAGGGGTAAAAACATAAACGTTCTTGGTTTCACGTTATTTATTAAAAYACTTTATAAAGATAATCCCTTTAATTTGCCAATAGCTTAAGTGCTATATTTTGATAATTGTGCCATTTGTAATGGGGTTATTCTCAAAGTTAGATGTTCTTACTACAGGTTTGTTTAATCTAGCTGTCTGTTACTAAACTGTGCCTAGTTTACAATGTTTTATCTGATATACACCATGGTAACGAAAGTAGCACAAAACTTGTTTCCAATTGTATTTCAAACAAAACACTGGAAAAGTTGATTCCGTTTACAGAGTTTGTAAATGATTTGTAAATCCACTGTTATGTCAATATACTGTAAATTCAATCTACAGACAAAATGTCCTAAGTTTGTGAATTTTATGTACATTCTGTAAATATCTTGATGTTTATGTTCGATCAAACATTGTACAAATCTTTTAAAATCAGTTTACAAAGTTTGTAAAATGACACTTTGTATGCAAACTGAATAATTTATAGTAAATGTACAGACTGTAAATTGATCAACTTTTCCAGTGAAAGTAGGGAAATCAAATATTGCCATAGGCTCTAGGAAAAGGTGCAATACTAATTAGCTTCAGCTTACTGGGTTAACAAAGAAAACATAAGAAAGATATTTCGTATATGACTCAAATCAAAGTCCTTCGTTACTGAGTTGTACAGATAGTAAAAAGTGGTACTTTATAGTTCTAGTGAAGCTAGTTTTTGCCGATTGAACCAGATCCGTCGGTGGCGGATTCAGGGAAGKGGAAAGGAGGGACTAAAACTACACACATTTCTTTTTATTGCGTTACAGGGCAACACCCTCTAAAAGTGGTTCACGTAACAAGATCAACTTCTGTTTTTTCTATCACGAAATGATAATAGAACTTATACGCCCAGAAGGAAATGAATACAAATGTGAAAGATTTCCAGTAACATTGACCAATGAGATTGTTTGTATTTCATGTAGTTACAAAAAGCAACCTTAGCGACTTTTGTCGTAATGACTTTGTGTACTGAACTATCAAAGGAGTACTTTGTTGTACAATTTTCTACGATGTTCAATAGGTTCTTATGAATTCAAGGAACTACGAAGACTTGTTTAGCTTTCGAATAAATTTATCAAAATATAGCTTTGTTACTTTTTTTCTTTTGTAGAAAATTGTTGCAGCTTTCAACAAATACACCGGCAAAAGCAAAATAGAAGCGAAAATCTCCTTCTTGAAGATAATTCAAAGATGGCCGACGTTTGGGTCAGCATTCTTCGAAGTCAAGGTTAGAAGTTTGCTTCTCTCGACTATAGTTCTCTGCTATATATTATTCTGTATGTCTTTTAGTTAATTGCGTTTTTCATTTACTTATTTTCCTTGCTTTCAGCAAACAACGGAGCCAAATTTTCCACAAACTTTGATAATCGCCGTTAACAAAAATGGAGTCAATCTAATTGACCCTAAAAACAAGGTATTCTTAATTGATTGATTGGTTGATTGGTTGGTTGGTTGGTTGATTGACAGACTGTTTGATTGATTGAGTCTTCACAACGAGTAATAAGAGTGAACGAGTGATTCTCTCTTTTTTAGGAAATCCTTGCCACCTATCCATTTACAAAAATTTCGAATTGGAGCAGCGGTAATACGTATTTTCATATGACCATTGGTAACGTCGTGCGAGGAAGCAGATTCCTATGCGAAACACAATTGGTAACCTTAATAATATCTTAATGTCACAAAAGATGCCCGRCTTACACCCATGAAACAATACTAAATGATCACTTCATTCAAATCGACGACAAAATCTCAGCGTTAAAATGAAAGACAAAAATGAAGTGAAATGGACAAAGCCAGATAATACATCTTTTTTTCATTGAAACTTTCCACTGTTTCGATACGGCTTATGCTAGTTTGACCTAAAAATGCAATTTGTGTTATATCGATTTTGTATTGTTTTACGGACAAATAACGCCCATATAAATCTTCTTAATAATTTTTGCTTTTTCTTTCGTATTTGTAGTTTTGTTGTTGCTATTTTTTTGTTTGTTTGTGTGTGGTTTTTTTTGCTTGTTTTTTTTTTCCTATTTTATTGCTATCTCTTTACCTTTTCACTGCCTATTTTTTTCCTTCCGTAAGTATCCTTACTATCCTTCCATTTTTGTCTTTTATTACAGGGTTATAAAATGGACGACTTATTAACTTCCTACATCTCCCTAGTCCTCTCCAACATGAACAAACAACGCAGACCACCAACACTACGGGCGGTTAGAAACAGCATTAACAATTAATCAGCAATAACAGTGTTCAACACTAGAGTCATTTATTTAATGCTTAACAATATTTATTATAACGTAAAGCAAACTACTTTAAATGCAACTTCTGTGTGTAATTTTATGAATGAGATGTAGCGATAATGAGCAACTGGAAAAAAGACTTAAAATTCATGAAATATTTTCTTGCATACATGTCAGTTTTTTACACTCTTAACTGTTCTAGCAGTGTTGCATTTTAGAATAAAAAAAGCGATCTAACTTCTGCATTACGTTGTAGAGTTACATGCTGTATACACCCTTTTAATAAGTCCCGAGGTATTGTGTTTTCCSCACTTGAYGTCGAATTTTTTCWTTTGAAATTTTTACAATACAAAAGGAATTCAAAAGAATAAATTTGACGTCAAGTGCGGAGAACACAATAACTCAGGACTTATTAAAAGGGCGTATAGAGTCAAAACGTCGACGAAATTAGAAACGTTGTTGAAATAATAAAAAGTGTATACGTTATTTATTATGACTAGTATGTTAAGGAGGTTTTGGCTATTGTCAGTTTGGAGCTGGGGCAAACTGCCTTACACTTTTTCAAACAAGATTGTATTCGAATAATCGGAGAAATCTTGCATAGCTTATCGAAATGGGCCGGAAATCAGCTTTCTTTGAATTTCTTTATTCTGTCATAAAACTGCTGCCAGTAAATTAAAGATAAATAGAAACTTTAGAAACTTCCAGCTGAGTACAACATTTTTGTTTATTTGATGAAAATAAGGCTAAATTAATGTTCTGTGTGGGAATATGGGAACATGTAGGTCAAGATTACTGATGTGACACCCATATTTGGAAAATTGCGTGAGCGATCACGTTTGTAACGCGCGCTTTACGCAAGTAAATCAGTCCTGCTCAAGATTCGGTCGTGTTTGGTTGTGTTTGTTTTCTCTTCCTGTGTGTTTTTTGTTTGTTTGTTTGTTTGTTTGTTTGTTTGTTTGTTTTTTTTCTAACAACTTATCAAAGTGAACCTGTCAACTACAACTAAATTTCATCACTTTTCAGCCCGGTCACATACGAAACACCTTGAACAGTGTAATAATGTTAATTTTTGTTATTTTGTTAATAAACACATAAGCTATGAATTAATAAGGGTGGTGAGTTTAATGCTCGAGGAGTTACAGTTGTCAAAAAGGACACCACTTTACCCTTCTTTACAAACTTAAAAATATCTCAGTTATACATTATCATCACACAAGTGTACAATATAGTTTTTTTTATATCTGACCTTATTTCTTTGCTCAGTAATGCATACAAAAATGGGTTTGCCAATGAGTTCACTGCACCAAGAAAGTCTACCACAGTAAATGCATTCAGAGGAACAGCGTCTGGTGACAGGGCATACCAACTTCTAACGACTGCACTTGGAATGCACAACACAACGAAAGAAGAAAATACCAAAGCTATCACGAGCAGTTTAAAGTCCTTTGACACTTGTTTATGTTGTGTTTTTAGAGCTCTTGTGACCGTATTTCCTTGATACATGGTGATCGATTTTGGGTGTGGTTGCGATCCTTCTGGARCATGAGTTTTCGCCATCTGCAAGTTTTCTTCGTTTTCATCACTGCATCTTTCGTCTTTAACAATGCTTTCTAAATGGTTTTCGTTGCGGATGCTTTTGACGGCATTTCTTGGATGGAAAGTGATCGATTCTAGGTGTTGCTGAAATCCTAGTTGACAATGAGTCAATGTTCTTTTTGTTTTCTTCTTTCCTTTCGACTTTGCTTTCTAGATCTGCTTGGTTTTCATTCCGACTTTTAGCGACGTTATTGTGCATGACGACTGATTCTTGATACGGCTGCAGTGATCCTTGTTGACTTCGAGTTTCAGATGTCTCAAAGTTTTCTTTATTTCGTTCTTCGGTTTTTTTGTGTCTATCGGTGCTTTCAGAACATGTTTTGCTTCTCATTTTGCTAATTTTGGGTTTGGGCACCTTTTCTCCTGTTTCTTGATTTCCCAGGCAAATTGTTGGACTTTCCTGAGAATCACTTGGATTTCGATGAACTTCAATGTTCACTTCAACGTTTTTTATAATGCCTTCTACGTTTTCACATCGCTGAAATGCTTTCGACTTCGTTGATAAGCTGGTTTCGACCTCTTCTTTATATCCAACATGACAAACACCCTTCTCCCGAGGAAAGTCTAAKTCTATTTGGGACTTCTGAGATGCAAACACATTTCTAGCCCTGTTTATTCTCATCGCTTTCATTTTGTGTCTTTGGCTCTGCAGCGTTTTGGTAATAGTAGTTAGGAACACACTATTAAGCACAGTTGGAATAACATAGGTCAAAAGACAGTAGATAAACCAGTTGTAGGGGTACTTGTGACTGTTAAACGAACATCGACACTGTCCGTAAGCTGGCTCATATTCTCCCCATCCTATCAAAGGCGTCACGGCCAAAACCAAAGCAAAACACCAAGCACCAAAGCATATCTTGTTGATCTTGGATGGGATAACATTAKCGCGGTATTGAAAAGGCTTGATCACACTATAGCAACGACAGGCTGCCATGATAGTGATGAAATATATCGAAGAGCTGAAAGTAAAACGAATCAAAAACGCGGTAAGCTGACAAAAGAAAGGGCTTGYAAGAGGACTTCCTGCCATCAAAACGAAATTGTTACAACTARCYCCCAGGAAARGTAAGAAATCTGCAACAGATAGATGAAGAATGATTGTATTTCCAGCTGAAAGATGGCGACGTTTGCGAACCAATRCGAAAATGATGGGTCCGTTCAGGAAAAGGATGGTGAACACCATCACAATTATATACGACAGGAATTTGCCGTAATTTCGACAGTTAACATGAAATATCCATGGAGCCGATGTAGTCTAGTTTGTTGACATGATTAGAGAAAAACACTGGCCTTCATTTTCGGATAGGCCAACAATTTCAACTCCCTGACAATTAGTTAGTCTTTGACAAATGATTTATTTTCTTATCAAAACAGCTTATTCCTTCATTTTTTTACAATGGGAATATAATACAATGCAATGACACCACGTTGGAAAATGGGACAAAAAATGATTGTCGAATAACAGGAAATTTACTCAAAGAGTCAGATGATTGAAGAACGGCTCGATTTTCTTTCACATTAATTAAAAAAAAAGAATAAAAAGAACTGCTATTTTAAACTGGCGTATGACCGGAATGTCGATATGTTAATTACGTTGCTTCAACAAATTTATTGAAATGTTATTTTTGAATGGAAAAAAYCCATGTGCTAAATCTCATTGAGCAATACTTTTATAAAACTAACAGCAGTCCTTTGACGTCTACACAAAGGTACTTATGCAAAGTAATAATTTTGGCGCAAGAGAATATATATATAACGAGACTTTCATAGAGTAAATGGCAAAAATAAAAATCGGTATGCTATACAGTACTTCCACAGCATAAAAATATCAAAATAGATCCCATTTACATACGAACCTATTTAACCTAAATTTGAAACAGGTTCTTATAGATACGTTCTTATAGAAATTAACATAAATAATTCTTTTTGTTACATTGGTAAATTATTTTCACTGTTTTCTCGCTCTCTTWTTGGACGATTCGGTGTCACGTGTCCGGAGCTAAAATCAACTGTTGACTGATCGGTCAACAGTTTGACGATTGTTGACCGCTTGGCCATTGGCGGGAAAAGGCYGCCTYKCGTYGRGTAAAAGTTTGTAAAGGCGGGAATGGTTTTTGCTGCTTTCGACTGTTTACAAAATGGGGCCGGCATCAAAAAAGATTTTCAAATCTTAGTCAAGAAATAGACGAATTGGTTGTCAACAAAGACTTTGGAAAACACTAACAAAAGCTACAACCAGAAACAGAGAAACCAAGAGAGAAACGGTGAATTTGGACAAATGTCACGTTAAATTTCTATTCAGGAACTCATTGACTGTTTCATTCATAGAGTTTTGCTAGTTTTTTGGCATTCTTATATTTATATTAGTTTTATTTTCAAGCACAATGTAATTTAAACGCTTAACATCTTGCTATTTTGTCGCGACGGTCAAATATTATATTTACAATAAAGTATTATTCATGATTATTGATAATCATCTTGCAATGTGTTTTTTTTTCGGCGTACCTCGGGAAACATTGAGATTCTCGGGAAACAAAACTAACCGTTTCCCTTGGGAACAGTCATTAAGTGTATAATATTCCACTAAGCACCATTTATATAAGAGCCCGTTTAGACTAAATTTGAAAAATTGGGTTCTTATAAGCGGGTAAGTACTGTATTTTCACATGTGAAAAACAGCATTACGTCCAAAACAGGAGCGCGTATAGCATTTTCACATATAAAAAATATAACCAATAACAACACAGAAAATAACCATAACCAACCAATCAGAAAACGACGTTCACAACACTGAAATGGCTTCTCTCACACACCTCGCGTTGATGGCAAAATGGCTGAAGGTGAATTGTGTTTGTTGATCAAGATTCCTCATTTGAAAATTTTATTGGTGGACAGAGAAGCAAACACTACTAGACTTACTAAAGCAATGTAGGAAAATTAAGTTTTTGAAAAAAAAAGTTTTGAAAAAATGAGTTTGTTTATGTTTATTTGACTATTGTGCCCACGAATCATGTTTTATTTTTGTTGTTGTTGTTGTTGTTGTTGTTATTTGTTGTCTTATTTCCGAGGCAACTCTTCATTTTCCCAATCTTTGAAAAATAGATACAGTTTTTACGTTTAACCACTGATCAAATTTAACATCGAAATGGGAAAATAATTAGGTTAATTAGGAAAGACTATTTAATGATTGATACTAAGCCATTTGACTAAACAGAAGACAGGAAAATATTGAGAATAATCGAGGCGACAGCTTCATTGAAAACCTAATAATCAATCAGAAAAAAACGGCAACAGTCCATTACTCCAATTTCGAATTCAAAGAGGTAACAGCTGTTTTATTTGACAGCAGTTTCACTTGCGCAAAGATCTTTCAAACACAAAAGAAAGCACAAGAATATGTTGTAAGTACAATAGCCCTAACAATTTACATTTTCGCCTTTTGTGAAAACAGCGTTAGTCTCAACTTGGGGAAAACAGGGGCGGATCCAGGATTTTTCAGAGGGGGGTGGCTAACATTAAAATTTAATATTAAAAGACGTTACAATTAATTTGACTCTTTAGGCTCATGTGAAATTATCCTTTATCGTTATCTCGGGCACACCTATAATATTTAGGAGATCAACAAACTTTTATATGAAAGATATTCATAATATATAAACATCAGTTACATCAAACAGATCTTCTCACTTTTTTTTCGAAGTAATTCTACATATTTTCCGTTATACAATAATCCTGTTATTTAATTTCTTTTTTTTTTAACTTAAAGCCTTTGGCTAGCCACCCAATCTATCCCCCCTGGAAAATGCAAATTTTGTAATTTATAAATTCAGCGGGCTATATATGAGTGATCCGGTCACTCATATATATCCCTCTGAATTTATAATGAGCTATTCAATTCTATTCATCAACGCCCACATTTCCCTGCTGAATATCAAATAAACTACACAAGTAAACTAAACTAATTTAGACCAGTGTGGCTAGCAAAACTTGAGGAGATTGAGAGACTAATAAGTTCGATTCCTGCAGCTTTTCTTGTTTCTTCATGTTCATGAAGAGAATAGAGACAACAATAACCACAAGATCTTCGTTACTTTTAAAAGAATCTATATACGTCGGATGACCAACGTGTATAAATTAGAAATAATAGTTTAGGAGTTAGACTAGCTGTCGTAGAATTTAGTAGACAACACATTCAAACAATTGTTAGTACCATGACTATTAAACTGACGAAATGCTATTTTTTTAAAGAGTGACCTATGTAAATCGTACAAATATGCACGATTGCCGGTTAAAGGGTTAAAACACGTAAGTGAGGCAGAAGCTACTGCTTTAGTAAAGTCCCTTAGTTCCATAGCCTCATATAGCTCTTGGAGAGAAAGAGTAGTTTGCAGTTTTTACTAAACAGAAAACAGGAAAATATTGAGAATAATCAAGGCGACAGCTTCATTGAAAACCTAATAATCAATCAGAAAAAAACGGCAACAGTCCAATACTCCAATTTCGAATTCAAAGAGAATAACAGCTGTTTTATTTGACAGCAGATTATTCTCTTACGCAAAGATCTTTCAAACACAAAAGAAAGCACAAGAATATGTTGTAAGTGCAATAGCCCTAACAATTTACATTTTCGCCTTTTGTGAAAACAGCGTTAGTCTCAACTCGGGGAAAACAGGGGCGGATCCAGGATTTTTCAGAGGGGGGTGGCTAACATTAAAATTTAATATTAAAAGACGCTACAATTAATTTGACTCTTTAGGCTCATGTGAAATTATCCTTTATCGTTATCTCGGGCACACCTATAATATTTAGGAGATCAACAAACTTTTATATGAAAGATATTCATAATATATAAACATCAGTTACATCAAACAGTTCTTCTCACTCTATATTTTTTTCGAAGTAATTCTACATATTTTCCGTTACACAATAATCCTGTTCTTTAATTCCTTTTTCTCAAAACTTAAAGCCTTTATATATTTTTTAAAATAAAAGAGGGGGTGGCTAGCCACCCAATCTATCACCCCTGGAAAATGCAAATTTTGTATTTTATAAATTCAGCGGGCTATATATGAGTGATCCCGGTCACTCACATATAGCCCTCTGAATTTATAATGAGCTATTCAATTCTATTCATCAACCTCACATTTCCCTGCTGAATATCAAATTACACAAGTAAACTAAACTAATTTTTCCCTTAAAAAGACCAGTGTGGCTAGCAAAACTTGAGGAGATTGAGAGACTAATAAGTTCGAGTCCTGCAGCTTTTCTTCATGTTCATGAAGAGAATAGAGACAACAATAACCAAGATCTTCGTTACTTTTAAAAGAATCTATACGTCGGATGACCAACGTGTATAAATTAGAAATAATATTTTAGGAGTTAGACTAGCAGTCGTAGAATTTAGTAGACAACACAATCAAACAATCGTTGGTACCATGACTATTAAACTGACGAAATGCTATTTTTTTAAAGAGTGACCTATGTAAATCGTACAAATATGCACGATTGCCGGTTAAAGGGTTAAAACACGTAAGTGAGGCAGAAKCTACTGCTTTAGTAAAGTCCCTTAGTTCCATAGCCTCATATAGCTCTTGGAGAGAAAGAGTAGTTTGCAGTTTTTACTTACTTTCTTACCTATGTCCATAGACTCCTGCATAGCATAAGCCATCGATGAGCTTTCTCCACTGCACCCTATTCAAGGCATTTCGCGCAAGTTCCGCCCGTCTCTAACCGTCCTCATTGCAGTTTGCACACTTGTTTTCTGCATTTGCTCATATTTACAGGAGCGGTTTCTCCATGAAGGCTTGATTTTTCTTTTATATAAGCTAATTGGGAGTGAACTCGATGTTTACATTGTTCATTTGTTGACGGCCTTCCCTAAAATAACCACCGCGTTTCAAGAGTCAGTCACAACCGAAGATGTTACAACACACATTGTTGTTTCGTCCCAATACTGCATTAGTGAAAATATTTTAGATGTCTTCTTGACAAATGTACAATAGCTTTATTTCCCAATTTGTATCCAAGTGTCTAATTTCAGGAGCATGCTTTGTTCATCTTGTTGTTCATCGTTTTGTTTGTTTGTTKATTTTATCATTTGTATTTATGTTCACGGTCTTATCGCMCATTTTTATTTCGCTTTGCTCTTTGAAAGGAYTCACAAACACGTGTAGATCATTAAACATTAGATCAATAAATRTAGAAAGAGTGTAAACAAGKATTGCGGTCTGTCAACTTTTAATAACCCTATAAACAGGTCTACCACTCAGGCCTAAATAAGAGACCTGTGTCGGCTTAATATGTGGAGGTGCAAATCAAGCAAATGAACAATTCGATAGATTAGTTAGTACTGTGATGTGTTCCTAGAAGACACTGCCATGGGATATATCAACCTCATTCTTTCTTTAATTTGGATAAGTGAAATTCTTTCAGTCTCAGGTTTGTTATAAGATAGTTATGTTTGGTCCATATTAGAGATCATATTTAGTAAACTATTAGAGTGTTTTCATTAAGCGAAAAGATACTAGATTTGATATTCCAACTGGATATTTATAACTGTCCTTTGCCTTTGTTTCGGACTGGCTATAGTAATTGATCACACTCAAACTTCGGAAGGTTGATTAAATGGGACAGCCTGCTTCAAAGATTGAAAACCAACCCAACTAAAATGGGACGGGAAGGTAGGGGCCACGTTTACTTATTTTAATTTCTTGTTCAAATGACGTTGTAAATTGCGATGACATTCATGTGCCATTCATTTTTCACGCTCAATAATGAGAATTACGTTAAGAATGCCATTAAAATCCTTGATTGAAACAACCGAAAACGAGTATTCGAATGATATTTCTGAAACTAGTGAGAGATGGCTTGATAATTGTTGATTGAAAGTGGAGCTTTTGAAACAAATGCTCGGTTCATTTTGGTGATGACTTAAGATCTTGTCTCCTTGCCATTCACAGCACAGAATTCTAAAAAAAAGACTTATGTATAATACAGCTCTTCAAGAGATGAGCGTACAGATTAGATATTAAAATATCTTAATAAACTTTACAATCTTAATCTTGTGAGTATCCACTATATTGTATGCAAGGACAAATAGGTGGAATAAGATATTTTTCCTGTCACTGAATTTCTAGTGTCCATTTTAACATTTTCTTTCCGAGAGCACGTGACTTACGTAGCTTGAAACTTACAATATGGCGTCAGCATCCAACAACGTTCGCTTATGAGAGCATAAACTAGTTCAGTGTTTCCGTGARAAATGCGGTGTTTTGAAGAGCTGTCGTCAAATAGAGATTTGACTGTACTCTATTAAAACAATGAAAGAGAGGGAACTCCAGAATAACTCGTTTTGTGCCCTTTTCTGRTAACRACAATGATTTATCTCAAATCGTTTGGTCATGYATCTTTTTAGWAACCATCCAATTGCTTAGTTTCTTGTACTTTAGTGTAATTTTCGCGGCTTTCAATTATTGTCCATTGACTCACCTGTTGCCGTCGTGTTTATCGTCATTTAGTTTATCATTATCGYGTTGACAGACTGTCATAAGGAATTTGTCTTTAGAGCGAAATAGTGAAGRGTGTATATTAATTCATAAACAGGTTGAGGATTCAAATGTAAATTCTCCATACAT